TCAGGAAATCTGCATGCTGCATCCGCTCGCCCTTCCTGTATTCTATGTCAAATTGGAAATTCTGAAGATATGCCCACCACCTATGGATCCGAGGGAGCAGATCTTGTTTGTGTTTCGAAGCCTTCAACGCGTTGCAATCAGTGACCACTTTAAATTTTCTGCCGTAAAGAAAGTGTCGAAAGTGCTTAATTGCTCGGACCACGGCCAATGTTTCGAGCTCGTATGAATGATATCTACTTTCGATATCAGTTGTACGCATACTAAAGTATGCCACTACATGTTGCCGACCATTGATAACTTGAATGAGTATTCCTCCAAATCCGAGACTACTGGCGTCAGTAAACAACTCTATTGGTTTCTCTTCTTGGAAAATCGTTAGTATCGGCGCGGTGGTGAGGAAACGAATTATCTTTTGACGAGCCTCTTCATGAACACGACTCCATTTCTATTCAGCGCCCTGCTTAGTTAAATCGTACAGGGGAATCATTGTTCGTGCAAAATCGGGAATGAAGCGGCGAAAATAACCCGCTAAGCCATTGAATTGGCGGACTTGTTTTACAGTGGTGGGAGCAGGGGCCTTCAATAGGGCCTCGACTTTTTTGGGACTGGGACGGACCTGACCATTCTCTACTATATTACCAAGGTACTCTATAGACTTTTTGAAAAAGCTGCATTTGTCAATATTAATGGAAAACCCGGATTGCCGCAATGCTATCAAGATTCTTTCCAAATATGAAAGACCAGAGGAAAAGTCGCGGCATTTGCTTATGACGCCATCTATGTACACTTGGGCTACGCTATCGTTGTGACCATTATTGGCACTGCCAGAATTCAGTAGCGGACCTAACGCGCGATTAATGCACCTTTGGTAAACGGACGGCGCGTTACAGAGACCAAAGGGCATGGTTAGGTATTCGTAGAGACCATCGGGTGTCACAAAAGCAGTTTTCTCGATTGAATCTGGGGCAATAGGAATCTGATGGAATCCGGATGCCATATCTAAACTCGTGTAATACTGTCCACCAGCCAACTGATCGATTTGATCAGCAATTAGAGGTAGGGGATAGTGATCGCGTACCGTGTTACTATTTAACTCCCGATAATCGACGCACATTCGGTCGTCGCCATTTTTCTTCTTGACTAAAATAATTGGACTCGAATATGGAGATTTACTTTCCCGCACAATATCGTTCTCAATTAATTCAGCGACTATTTCCTTAACCTTTTCACGCTCGACTGGACTTAACCTATAAGGCCTTCTCTCAACAAATTTGTCTTTATTCTTTAAACGGATTTCTAGTTGACCTGTATTGACTCGAGATTTAGCAAAACCGCGCGTGAAGAGATCTGAGTACTGGTTAAGCAAAGTGAACAATTGATCTACCTCGGATTGTTCCTTTAGATCGTGATCCATATTGTCAAATATACCGCTGTCGGCTCGTACATGCATGACACGTGGGCATGGTACTAGTTTCGCGCTATTCTGTGTCACTAAAACACTTAAACCGGTATCGTGTAGTAAATTCGCACCGATTAGAACATCCGAAGTCATTTCAAAATCGGGCAAAACATTGAACACGATTTCTACGTTAGTATTATCTATGACGCATATGGTCTTTATTCTCCACGTGGAGATCACCGGGAATGGACCTATACCTCGCAAGTAACTAACTATTTGTTCTCTACGACCTGGTAACTTGTTTGCAATAGATTCGCGCATTACCGAACATTCGGCCCCACTATCAAATACCGTATCTATCGTAATGTCACCTACACGCATGGGCATAGTATTCAAACTAGAGTGACTGCTAGCCACCGAATTAATGTTGGGAACTATTGCTTTTTCCCGGCGGTAGCAAGTGTCAAACGTATGACCTGGTTTGGAACAATATGAACAAAACTTATTATTCGTGTCATTTGGCTTTGATGAGGGGTGGGACTGAGGGACCCAACCGGTTGTTTGCACATTCGGATTGGCAGCATTTTTGTTACGGCAATTACTGAAAGAATGGCCAGTTCTTTTACAATGATTACAGTAAAGAGAAGCATGGGGTTTATTACTATCTGAAAATCGAGGGCGTTTATGCAATGGTTGATTAGGATTCAGATTGTTTTGGCTAGAACGTTTGCTAGATCTAATAGTGGAAGCAACAGAGATCAGTTCGGGCACTGAACTAGCTCTGGCATTCATTAATTCAATTCTAAGGCGCTCGTCACTAATAGTTCCTATTACCGCTTCTACCGCATCACTATTGTCAAGCATATCTTTAGTCACACGTCTCCATAAAATCCACGACTGGGTCAAAAATTCCGAAATATCTTTGGAATTGTCGTAGGTATGCTCTCTAAACGAACTATATCCCGTGAGTAACGCGTTTCGGGCTCAAACGTTGTTATAATTATTTGACGTAGCTCTTCCCACGTTGAGGTAGTTACAAGCCAGTTATCGGCCCATATTTTAGCACGCCCTTTCAACAAGCTGGTCACTTTCATGCGAATGTCGTAGTCACTGAGCTCATAGGTATCTTTAGCCGTAGAAATATGATTACACCACTCACGTACACCAACATTACCATCAGGATCATATGAGGGTAGGAAGACCTCTGTGATTTTGACCTTATTATTGGGTTGTTGGAGTCGTTCAGTCATGGTCTGCATCATTTTCATCATGTGTAGGAAAAAATCAGGTGGTACATTACCAATTTGTTGTGATACTGGGCTTGCAGTGTGCTCACTAGGAGTCGGGTTGCTCGGTCCCGAAGGACACGTAGGAGGCTCATCTGACTCGGCTCCGTCCATGGTGCACGCTGTAATGCTTCAGTCAGGATTATCTGAAATCGTCGAAAGACCAGAGCAGAAAGGGGATCGCATGGCGATCCCACTTCTGATATCGGAACAGAATTTGGGTTCGATTTAAAAAGTAATGTAAAACCGTTGACCTTTATCAAGGTCAAGGCTCTACAGTCTTTATTTAAGCTAAGAAGGTAATAACGATTAAATGAAACATAAAACAGTTAAGGAGTTGACTTGTTTTTTAATAGTTATTTCAGTAATGTTTGGGGGGTAGGTGAAATTACGTCTGTTCGCTAAGGAATTACCATTATGAGAAGAACAGACAAGAAACTCATAAGGTTTTCTTTTTCAACAGTCAAACATTATTACAATTTCATTTACTTCAACTAGAAAAACTTAGAAAGTTAATACTCAACATTTAAATAACTATTTTTCAACACTATTTCTTAACAAATTGACTTTAACTCAATAATTATTGAAATAATAGCAAGACACTAATTTGATTTGGAATTCGGGGAGAAATTGGACAAAGGTTCAACACTCACTTGTTTTCCCGCTCAAAATCCGTCACAGACTCTCTCTCAATAATGTTTTTCAAGCCCACCTGCCGCCACTCTGGCGGCAACGTCTAGTTGCGCGTCAAAACGGAGGCAGATGGCGCTAACGTATTTTCGTAATATTAAATTTACCACAAATAACCATATTAAGAATTCCAAATCAAGCCTTAATTATTTAAACAATATTACAAATAAGTTCTGATAGTCTAAAGCAATCAAAACATTTAAAATAGTAAAAACAACTTACATTGAAAGTACTCACAAAGACTTGCATCAAATTAACTCACCAAAATTAAAACTTCACGTTAATACAGTATTATGAATTACAATCTTGTCTAAAAATTCTAATTAGATTTTAGAGAGTGAAATTTATAATCAAAAATAATTAATAACAATAATCAATTTAATTAATTTCCGGCGCCTCCAAAACTCCGCGGCGACATATATGTATACAGTGATCATATTCAATTGATCCTTGACTGACGTGTTCACTACTCGAATACCCAAGAGTCCAGAAATAAAACGTTTACTAATTAATTTTAAGGTATTCTTAAGTAGGGTTCAGTAGGGCCAACAGTTTTGTAATAACTAATGATTATTGTATTGTACCGATGTTTGTGTTATGTGTGAATGAATGTGTATATGAATGTTAGTTGTAATTTGTTGTGTGTCATTAAAATCAATCTGTCAAATGTTGATTAAATGATTTTTATTAATTACTTGTAGTTTGATATGAAACATCTGATGTAGAGAGTCAGACCGGCTGCTTGCGTGTCGACGCGTCGCCACGCTATATGATATTATATGTGACGTGTAGCTACGTGTCGCCATGCGCAAGTGAGACTGCGACTCTTTCACGCTCATTTTATTATATTATCAAAGTGATGTTAGATGTGAAACATAGAAATTATTTAATTATTATAAATGATTTCTGTTTAACATCTGCCGTTGCCTCTGACGACTCATTTTTTTTAACATCCACTTCCTTAATCGGAAGTTCGGTACCATAATATTTTTAAGGGGTTTGTGGAGGAACGGGCGGTATCCCTCCCTATATATCCTCCACATCCGTCCCTCCAACACGAAGGGAGAAAACTTTAACTAGGCGAAGTGTACAACGTTCTGTAAAACAAACAGTATCGTTTTTTACCCGTAGTTGGTTCGTTTTTTCGTAGTGGTAATTTATTTTTATTTCTTAAATTATGTGTATGTCAGTTTAAACTGAACCTATATAATTAAAAAGCAGTTATAATAGACGTAGGTTCAGTAATTTTTGACAAATTCTTGCTTTTACTTTGGATGACCTGTCCTTTTAGAAGAGAGAATAACTGCCTTCTTTAGAAGCGCCAAGCGCTTATTGAAATACCTATCTACGAGATAATATTATGCCCGCAGCATTAAGTTTTAGTAGATGGTACTTTCTCCTCAAGCAAATAAAGCGGCTGAGAATTCGTATAAATAAGCTCGTTCCAAATAGTGTATTTAGACCGAAACCCCATTTAAAAAATAATTAAATTTAACCCTCAATAAGAACGGAAGATATAAAGAAAGACAGCTATGAAAATAGGAATGTATAAAAAATATTTAAAATTCATGTTTTCATATCTACGTGCTTATTTGGAACTTTAGAGGTGTTGGGATCAATTAATAATGTTAACATTGTCGGCATCTTGGGTTCATTGCGATGCCGACATGAGATATGATATAACTTTGAGGAAATGTTGAGATTTTTAAATACAGCCTCAGAAAAATAAAAAATAGTTCGGTTTAAACTTATTTTAAGAACGACTTGCAACAAATTGTATGCTCTTCTTACCCAAATATCAAAACAAGTTAACTAACTATGAAAAAAAGCTGTGGAACACAAGATCAGAAAGTAGTAGCTATAGTCTCTCACAATGAATAATTACAACCAGTTTTCGTGAAAGAGAAAAATTAAGCAATAATAAAAGTTAAAGTTGGAAGAACGCAAAAATAATAATTAGAAAGGAATACCGCATGAAATAACTTATGTATTATTTTCATTATCGTGACCCGCTAGTTATGGAATTAAAAAAAATCAAAAACTTCACAATACCAGTAGTTAAAAGACTTGGCTCCACACAACTACACATTAGTCATGCAAAAACAATGAGACCAATGACCTCGAGAATGTCAAATCAGTTGTCAAATATTTCCGAAACAAAACAGTACTGGATTTATTGAAATATAAAGTTTATTGAGAAATTCATTTCAATTTGTGTAGACAAGTGTTTTTTACGATAATTTTGGCTTATTCGCATCTATTTTGACAACTTCTAGGAACGGGAACGGTGAGCTTTGCTTTTTTTTCGTTAGATCGATGACCATGTGTACCATACAGCCTACTTTGGGAGTGAGATCATCCTAAGGATTTTGTCTGTATTTAATCCTAAAAAAATTGTTACCTACCAATCCGTTTACCTTCTCATTATAGGGATATTTAGAAAAATAAAAAACAAAAAATCATTCTTATTTCAATTTGTGTCTAAACAGTGTTTTTTTTTGAAACCATAAACTAAATTTCGTCCTTTTACACCTTTTTGATATGTAGGATGGGAATAAGAAATGGTAATGAATTTGAATGGGTGACACTTTGCCTTAAATCAAATACTCGTTCCCAACAAAAAAAAAAAACAATGACCGATCGCCACGATTAATGCGCCACTGTCGAAAACTAGTTGATGTGAAATAAACTTGCACTAGGACTTAGACTGATAGACATGGGCACCTATATTTATTTATATGTTACTAAACAGTACCTCAATAACCGAGCTTTGCTCAATTATTATTTTTTGAATAAATTTTCTAAAAATGAAACCTAGCTAAGTCAATAAATCCCCCCCGAAACGCCCCTACATAAATTTCATGAAATCCTTGGAGAGATTCAGAATATATAAGAATTGCTCGTTTTAAAGGTATTAGGTATGCATAGACTAATTAGACTGCAATCAGTCATAGTACAAAAGATAGTGCGCTCATCACGTATGTTTTCGGCAGATATTTTGCAAAAATGGACCAAGTCTTGCAGCATGTGGCCCAGACAATGGAGAAGAAACTCGACAATGAGTTAGAAAGGTAGGCCTTGAAGACAATGTTTATTGTAGATAGAAAATCTGATAGTAAGTGAATACCGCTGTCCATTGACTCCTGCAGCTCAAGAGATACGAATTTGCTCCCCCCCAAAGGTTTTTTTTGGGCAAACGAACAGACGGGTCACCTGATGAACAACTCAGGAGTCACAAGCGTACTGAAGGTCTTTGAGGAAGGAGTACGCTAGGTTAAGGGAAGATAAAACAATGCAATGGCATCATGTGTGTTTATATTTGTTTTTTTCTTTGCTTAAATTTTGATGCCATTTATCAAATCACAGTAGTGAGTTATCGCGTTACACGTGCAATCGCAGTGACTAAATCCAATTATTTCATCGTAATCATTATTATTATTTAATAGTAGCAATAATTTCCATCACTATGATAAACATACTTGTATATTATCAAATATACATACAAATATTTGTCCTGCTTGGAAATGGAACTAAAAACCCTCCAGCTTAGCAATCAGGGTGACTAACCGCCGACTGCACGGATGGCGTAGTAGTTTAAGCGGTCGCCATGCCGCTCCCTACTACGCCGAGTGTTGTGGGTTCAAACCCCACACGGGACGACACTTTGTGTGATCCACAAATTGTTGTTCTGAGTCTGGGTGTTCTTTGTGTCCGTTTCATGTATATTTGTAAAGTCCCCCGCGACACAGCATATATTCCTAACGCGGGCGTTGTCTCTTAAAAAAAAAAGACGGACAGGCTAGTCATTGAATCACAAACTCCAGTTTCATAGAATATATATATTTACGTCCAAATTCCATATTTTCCAGATTGGATGCGCTCGACAGTAATGACTTAGAAGCCATCAGACAACAGCGCATCGCCGAGATGAAGAAGAGGGCCAAGCAGAAGCAAGACTGGCTCGCTATTGTGAGTAAGATTGGGGAAAATTCCTATTTTATAGCAATATTATTTAACTTAAAATCAACAAAAAAAAAGGAAAGATAGAAGAAGGAAGAAAGAAAGAAAACATATATTTTATTCTGAAATACACGACTGCTTACACTAATGAATTTTCAAAGCTATTCTCATAGCAAACTACAAATCATTAATTGACCTTGTGGTGACGGATTAAGAATACGGATGGTTACCTACCCCATTCATCCCTTGGGTGTCGTAAGAGCCGACTAAGAAAACAAACTACACAGGACAAAAGCACTGCAGAGAGAAGGTAAACTTGACACAAACCCTATACCAACTCGTCTGGCCAGCGTGGTATAGTAGGCCAAATCCTCCTTTCTAAGGACAGGCCTTTGTCCAGCGGTGGACTGTTAAAGACCTTCCACCTACCGACTATTACTTTTTCCAAAATTTAGACAACTTTTTAGTGGGTAAAAAATTCAGTTCCCGAGAGGCAGTACAAAATGCCTTTGAAGAGTTTGTTCCCGTCCAGCTGATTTTTACAAGAAGGGCATCTATAAACTGCCAATGCGTTGGCAAAGATGCGTCGATTGCATGGGTGATTACTTCGAATAACAGAAGAAAAAATAAGTACTAGTAAAATGCAATTTCATAGGTAAAGACCTAATATATATAACAGACTCTACTTAGTTTGATGAAACAATGTTTTTTTCAGTATTATCTTTAAATTGATTGACTATCTGACCAGGGCCACGGCGAGTACACAGAGATAGATGGAGAGAAGGAGTTCTTCACGGTGTGCAACAAGTCGGAGAACGTGGTGTGCCACTTCTACAAGAACGACACGCCGCGCTGCAAGATCGTGGACATGCACCTCAAGATCCTCGCCAAGAAACACGTGGAGACCAGGTTCATCAAGTTGGACGTGGAGAGGGCACCGTTCCTTACCGGTATGTTGTGTAATGGTAATGGGTTTGGGCGCAAAACAGAAAACAGGTCATGCGTGAATGTGTGTATGCCATGACTAGAGGATTCGATCCCGGTCGATTTTTATAATCCCGGGATTTCGGGATTATCTACAGTTAATCTCGGGATCCCGGGATAGTCCCGGGATTGTATTGGCAATGGAAAGTGGTAACAAAAAGACAGTAAAACATATCAAAATATTTTTTTTGTTTATCATTTAGATTTGTGAGGACATAGAATATTTAAGTTTATAATCTCCAAAAAGGCGGTTAATCAAAATTATACTTTCTTCTTATAAAATAAACAAACTAGTGCCTAGTTTGTTTTGTGTTGCGTTAAATAATTTAGGAAACTAACAATAAACTTCCAAAAATCAACTTCTTTACACTTATCTAGATAACTATTAAAAAAAAACTATATGCTTAAGAGACCAATGTTTATAGATACCTCCTCATATTTTTTAATTAAATTGCCCAGAAACTTTATAAATTACACACTTTTACGCATAATCCAGAACCGGTCATTAGCAAAAACAAATGAAATCAGCTGTGTAGACAAGATGGCTGTCAAAACATCAAATCAAGGCAAGGGCGTTTCTTTTTACGCACATTTTTATTGACTTATGTAAAAAATGTATCAATCCTGAAAATCCCGGGATTCATTAAATTTGATACCGAAAATTTCGGGACTAAAATATGACCGGGATCCCGAATCAAATCCTCTAGCCATGACCCTTAATTATGGTCAAATACGGATAACGCATGTCAATGGTAATTACATTTTTTGTTTTTTTTATAAATCACTCCGTATAATTACCATGATCCATAATCTTCGAGTCCTTTTCCCAAACTAGTACGAGGCGATATCATAGTTCTTTAGAAAGACTGTTGTTTGACCTGTAAGGGTTCCAACTACCGACGTTCGTGTGGCAACCAGGACCGACGGGTTTGACGTGCTCTCCGAGGCAGGGAGGGGTCTCAACAATGTATATACCGTAACTAGGTGATGCCCGCGACTTAGTTCGCGAAATGAAATTGCAATTAAAGTATCATTTTATTTCGCGTGGAATCTGAAAAGCGCTGCCTCAGTGGGTTTGATGCCCGGACCGGACAAAATTTTATAGGTTTCTTTTATGAGGAAAAACTCCTTGTATATACAGCTACCTGGTAGTAAAATATTATCACAATCGGTCCAGCCGTTTTGAAGATTATCCGGAAAAAACAGATCGGTTCTACCTATAATGCCACGGCTCGACAGTGATCCCACGGCATTACAGGAAACTGGTGCTGAACAATTCTTGTCTTTTCACTGAGTGAGTGGGGGCAGGGGCAGGGGGAAGGGGCTCAAACTACTCGTGCCTCTTGAGTTGAGCCCATACCATAATATGTCCAAACCTAACCTAAGCATAGCTTGTACTGTGTATATCTAATTTTTATTTTTAAATATTTCTTTTTTTTCCAGGTCGTCTCAAGATCCGCGTGATTCCGACCATTGGGCTGGTGAGGGAGAACAAAACTAAAGATTTCATAGTTGGCTTCACAGATCTCGGTAACAGAGACGATTTCTCGACAGAGATACTGGAGTGGAGAATCGCCAGGTAAGACTGATTCCGTCATAGAAGAAATTCCAAATATATCGAGTGAAAGTCTGGTTTAGGGATACGTTATCTAAATTAAGGAATTTGAAGTCTTTTTCTCAATCTTTTTGTTTGTTCCTAATTTATTTGTAATATTGCAAATGGAGAAAAGAACAAGTCAAATTAAGGGAAATATACCCAGGGGGGGGGGGGGGGGGAGGCAGTAGTACGAAGGCTGGTCTCACGTATGTTCAATCTGGGACTAATCCCACTATTTGTTTTTTGTTTTAAAGACAACACCCGCGTTAGGAATATATCCTGTGTCGCGGGAGACTTTACAAACATACATGAAACGGACACAAAGAATACCCAGCCTCAGAACAACAATTTGTGGATCACACAAATTGTCGTCCCATGTGGGGATCGAACCCACAACAGTAGTGAGCGGCGTGGCGACCGCTTAAACTACTACGCCATCCGTGCAGTCAATTGACCTCACTATAGATAAAAAAAGATGTAACTTAAATTTTTTTTGACATGGGGCCCACTGATCACCCGATTTTAGTGACCACCACTATAGAGGGGTTGGGGTGTTCCGAAAAGAATTGCACAACAACGATTTTTTCTGTTTTATGGTAACCAGACCGCTGATAAACATGCTTATATATTTCTGAATACATACATATTACAGATAAAGTACACCCAGACACAGAACAAATTATCGTGATCATTACACAATATTTGTCCTCGCATGGAATCGAACCTTATAGAAAACCGGTGTTAAGCAATTCTTTCATTTCTGGAGCCCAAATCTCCCCCCTTCCGCTGACTCGAGCGATAGGGACTCCAAGGGCGGCAACGCACTTGTGACTTTTGATTTGCCGGTGTCCATGGGCGGCGGTAGTTGCTTACCATCAGGTTACCCGTCTGCTCGTTTGCCCCGTTAAAAAAAACCCATGACCTTCGACTTAGCAGTCAGGGTCACTAACCACCAGACCAACAGTGATATATTAAAGCTTCTACAGAAGTGCCCGATGGTGTCTTCCACAGGTCAGAGATAATAGAGTACAGCGGTGACCTCCTCGTCCCTCCAGCGGAATCCCGCAAGCAACGGTCACTCCAAATACAGAGCAAGAAAACCATCCGCGGGAGGCAAGACTCGGATGACTCAGACCTGGATCTGAGCGACTAGCGCAGTACCCGCCCTAGACCTGAATGTTTTAAATATATAAAGAGGCATAGGAATACTCAATAGGGATTTTATTACTTGTGTTGGGGCCAGTGACATCAAAAGTACACAAAAATGACTCGCCCCTTCAAGCAGCACTGTTATAGAGAAGGTTTTTAATTGTATATTTATCTTCTTAAATAAAAGATCTCTCCGGAAATATCCGGATATGCACTAATGACCGGATATTTCCGGATATTATAGATCATTCGGACACTTCTTGTATTTATACATTTAATTGACAAATAATTGTTTAATTTTATCAAAATTTATATCTTCTAAATAATGTATTAACACTAAGTATTATAGGTGAAAAAAAGCATAACGTTTTTGCTTTAATGCGCCTCAGTAAATACGTTGCTAAACAAATTTAAGAGCTATTTGCAACTAGCTTAAAGTTTATTTTCATTTGAAAAGTCCTTTAGTGTTGTCATACTAAAATGGTAGGAATGTGCGCTAATATATTTTTGTGCGAAAGAAATTATATGTACAACACAGACTATATTATTAATAAACACTTTTTTAATTAATTGTCATTTTATTTCATCATCATCATCAATAGCCTTTAATAGTCCACTGCTGGACATAGGCCTCTTCTTAGAAAAGAGGTTTTTATACCAAGCTAACCAGACTGGTTGGTATAGGGTTTGTGTCAAGTTTTCCTTCTCCTTGCAGTGCTGTTGTCCTGCGTAGTTTACTCCCTTAGTCGGCTCTTACGACACCCACGGGATGAATAGGGATGGGGACACTCCGTACTTGATCAACGTACTTGTACATTTACAACTAAAATGTTATTTACGAATTTTAAATGTAGTCAAGGGTTAAAAGTTTATTCCGGCAATGACTAATTCGAGTAATAGGTATGCGATCTTGATTTGAGAAGGTTAATTGTCGTAATAAAAAATTGTTCAAATTTAAATTCCGATCTACTCTCGATTGTCATTAAAAGTATGTCCATAGTAAAATACTAATAGTTTACTACGATCAGCAGATTACCGATTCAACTTTCGGCCACAACCCATACTTGTTTATTTATTAATTAATTTATTCCTTATTAAACATACTGAACACATACATATATATATATATATATATATATATATAAGTAACAAGGAAATGTCATGTACAAAGGCGAGCTTAACCCAAAACTCAGTTTTCTTTCAGCAAACCTTGAGCGAATAGAGGACAACAGAGAAACTATAAATATGAAAGTGAGTTTGTTTGTTTATCACGCTTTTACGGCCAAACCACTTAACAGATTTTAAAATTTCATTCATTAATGCGAAGCTTACATTATCAGCGAGTTATAAACTTTTTACCGCGCTAACCGCCATACAGACGGGCAAAAGCTGGTACGATATAATCACATTACAGCCAACGTTAGATGTTTAATACTTTACTAGGAAAATACTTATTATGACATTTGTTAGATGGATATTAGATCGGAACTGAATTGTGACCGAACTTTTATTACGAGAATTGGCCTTCTGCTCGAGCAGAACATGTTCAAACTCCCCAAACCATCCGTATAATCATCTCATTATCGCTTAACATCCCCACCGTCACATTATACTCCCGATTTGCCCATCTACTCTCTAGTGCCTGGTCAAAGGCTTGCCCCTAAGACTTAAGTTGTACTAAAAGTGTAGTGGGCGAGAAGTAAGCGTTTTAATAGTTTTTTATTGCCTTATTTTTAGCACAACGTGCTTCATCTTTGTCCTGGATATGTGTCTCATAGTCCTCTTGTGAAATATGTTTTAACCGAAAACTAGTGCAGACATCGCATTGGTCCTTCCTTGGTTTATGAATTGGAATATTCTCTTTACCAAAAACACTTAGGAAGATATTCCGTGAAACTTGCTTTTTGTTTTGTTTATTACACCATATTTTATAAATTGCGTGCATGTGCAGGTGTGATCGGAATGTTGACTCTACATAAATGTGCTTTGACGATGCCCGGCAATGACTGTATGTTAAGCCTTTCGGACACCATTCCTCGTGTATTTTTGGTGGTGGGCAAGACACTACGATAATGTTCAATTGAAGTAGGGGTCATTTTCATCTGCCATGACTGCCATTGCTGACGTATCTTTAACCCCGCTTAAGAAAGACTTACGGACGAGATGGGCAGTGTTTAAAAAAAACAATCTGCACACTTTTACTTTGGTTTTTTGAAAATCAAACTTAAGCACAAAAATATCAAAGGCAGTTTTTTCCTAACATTAATAGAATTTTCACGCTTTCTTTCCTTACGAAAATTTCTTTTAGATACTAATCCTTATACAAAGGCTTTTTTCCACCCCATGAATTCATATTCCAAAACTTGATATGTAATGCAACTCGTTCTTTTTCTGATACTAAACCACGCATAAAACTATTTTTTGACTTTTTTCTATTGCAGTATGATTATAGCGAGTTTTACAGATCTGGCTTCTTTTGGAATACTTTGTTCTAACTTTTCCTCTTTTTTCTGGTATGTTTACCCAGTAAACGGCGGCTTTTAGCTTTCGATTGACGAGATAATGAAGTTTTAGAGCTGCTTGGTATTTCGATGCTCGCTGTTAATTCCTGAACTCTAATACTCTAATCCTAGATGAATTGTCATCATCATCGCTACTGTATATTTAAACGATAGATTGATTCGCTAACTAATCTTCCTATTCAAAATATTAAAATCTCGAAAAAGTGCACATAGCAAATTTTGGTTTGACAATGACGATACGATACAAAATTCTACTAAATTGTATATTTAGTAGAAATTATTATCTTGGGTATCCCTTCTAATATTTATGTGTCACTAAAAAGTTGACAGCTGACAACGCGAATTGTGTTCGCAAAGTGCGGAGTACGTAGTGTATTTCACTATTTTCATTCCATATGAAAATTTATTGAATAAACAGTCCACTTCTTATGTGTCGTCACCATTCCTAGGAACCTTTACTCCTTCCCGTGAACCGCGAGACCTTGTCGTGTGTCAGTTATATCGAATGAAAACTTCAAGTTTGTCAAGAAAATCTCGACGTTCCTGAAATTCGAGTGAAAATTCGTGGTAAGATTGCATTGTGTACTCAGTGGTAGGTTTATATAGTGCTATTTATAGGCTAGAAGATTCTTTTATCATTACTTGGCCCTAAAATAATAATTTCAAGGTTAAAAAGGTAGACTTTGGACTGTTATAGTGATAGTCTAAATCTTTATTTCTTTGTAATGCCGTCCGAAAGAGGATGGTTGGTGCCTCAATATGTAAACAACGTTTTGATATCAACGTCAATTTTTTTCTTTTTTTTTATCAGAAGTTTCTAAATTAAACCAATTAGCTCACATACAAAAAAAAAATACGATGGTCTTTTAGAATACGGAATACGCGAGTTTCTCTTTAATTATACTATATATAATGAGTGTATATAACCTTGATAATGCTGTTTTATTGTTAGGAATTTTAATGAATTTATTAATTTGGTTAGGTGATTGTCAATTAAACTGCATGGTATACTTAATGTAGATCAACCTTTGTATGAAACTCTTTGTTATAATCTACATGCATTACTTTATGAAAGTAGTAATGATTGTAACAACTATACAATATCTCTACAATCTCATTACATCACATCACATCAACAGCCTTTACTAGTCCACTGCTGGACATAGGCCTCTCCTTAGAAAGGAGGTTTTGGCAGACTATACCACGCTGGCCAGATGGGTTGGTATAGGGTTTGTATGAAGTTTTTCTTCTCTTTGCAGTGCTGTGGTCCTGCGTAGTTAGTTCCCTTAGTCACCTCTTACGAAACCCACGGGATGAATAGGGTTGCTGACACTCCGTATTCTTGATCCGTTACCACACGGACTGACACTGGACGGACACATTACATCACACTAATTAAATAATGCTATCAGTATTTTATAACTATTATATTACTTATAATACACTGATAAGACAAATATTAGGCTTAATTGGTGTTTTTAATTAATGAAAATTATCATTATGTTATCAGAATGAAAGTAAAAGTCAATAATAATTAAATAACAATTACTATAAAATAGTTTTTATATCTGTATCATTAAAGACTTGTAAGGTAGAAAGAAAAACAGAACTGCACGGATGGCGTACTATGCTTGGTGTTGTAGGCTCAATCCGCACATGGGACCACACTTTGTGTTTGACACACAAATTGTTGTTCTGAGTGTGGGTGTTCCCCTGCGACACAGGATAGAAAGAGATAATAATGTTAATTAATTAGTATTAATTCTTTTAAATACTTTTATCTGTGGTTCATATATGTTGTCCTGTGACATGGAGGGATTATATATCTCTTAATTGACTTTGATACTATAATACATACTTACATTAAAATCTTATACTGTTATTCGTGTAATCTTAAATCTAGACAAGTTCCTGGCAACAAAACAGTAATTCCAACTCACTTCCATAAACAAAACAATAGTTAAGCAATAAAATAAAACTTTAAGTAGCCATAACTATTTAATCACCATGATAGCTAAATAATATTATTTAATGCATATAGAAGCATGTTTAATGATTTTTTTTTTCAATTGTGGATCATTGGTTCACTATCATCATCATCAACAGCCTTTAATAGTCCACTGCTGGACATAAGCCTCTCCTTAGAAAGGAGGTTTTGGCTTACTATAACACGCTGGCCAGGCAGGTTTGTTTGTGTCAAGTTTTCCTTCTCTTTGCAGGGCTGTTGTAGTGCGTAGTCAGCTCTTATGGGATGAATAGGGGTGGTGACACTCTAGATTCTTAATCCGTCACCACATAGAAATGGTTCACTATTAGGGGGTAAACACATGCAAAAAACTATTTTTAAAACTGAATTAATAATCTCAGAATCTTAAATTTAGATGCCTTTTGTTTGCATTAGGGTTTCATTATGTAAATAAATTGGTAGCCATTGAATATAACTACAATCAAAACCTACAATGTCATTTTTAGGGTTTCGTAA